TCGCCATATTGCTTTGTGGTTGCGCCATAAAAAGTCTGAGGGTAGTGTTACTTCAGCTGCTGGACGTGCATGTGATAGGCGTTTCGGTCTGCAGAAACGGGCGTTTGCTGAGACGGTGACGATATCATTGGATCACTTGTTGTAAGCACCAAAATCGACGGTGGAGACCGCTTCCTGGCCAATTACAGGCAAACGGCCTTTGAGTGATGACCTTGGGGAGGAGGGGGTGAATGATGATTGTGACTGTCAAGCTACGTTGCGCCGTTAGCCTTGTTTGATTGCACTGGTCTGGCGAGCAGGTCCAGGCACCATCGTCTGTGATCGGTCTCGGTTATTTTACTTGGAAACCCGGTGAAATGGTAGTATGCATAATAGGGTTTAAACTTTATTTATTTCAAGCTGACGATGCCGCGATTCAATGGCAGGGGGCGATATTCCTACATCGATGTTGCTCATCTCGGCGGGCTTCTCTCTTGCAGTTCCCTGCGCTGCCACGCCATCAGCCTAACCGACCCCGATCTATGACAGGCTTATTACATAACAGAGCGTTAATTCGGCAGGTTCGAAGGGGAATGCGTCATGAGCATAAGAACAACGCAGTCAGCCAAAAGCCATGGTCGCGGAAATAGGTCTGCTCCAGGGTTGTCCTCCTGCATCTTGTCCAATGGCTTCTGCATCAATACGATCTCACGAGCATATACGAGTTGATGGCTGAACTTAGCAAAGCCATAGCTCGGTGCACGTCTGCCAACAAAGCAAGTCCAACGCAAAGCGTGCATGTAGCACTTTGGTTTGTTTCGCCGCCTTCACATCTAGCCACTTGCGTGATCCGGGAATGATCTTGCAAGCGAACAAGGGAATGGCTCAGCAACAGCTTGTGTATAAAGAGGGCATTGTGCTCGTCAGTCTTCGAGAAATTATTCATTACCTCAACTTGCACACTCAACTCGCACACTCAACACTCAACCTAACTCGCAACCCTCGTTCAAACCACAAACCACCCGGCAAGCCTGCAAAATGAAGTGCCTCGCTGTTGTCACGTCCTTCCTTTCCATGACCATGGTTCTCGCTGTTCCTGGCGATTACTACGGAAAGGTTACCAAAACGGTGACGGTGACGGACACGGTCACCAAATACCCAGCCCCCGTCACGAAGACGGCGACGATCTACAAAACCAAATACCCAGCCCCCGTCACGAAGACGAAGACGGAGACGGAGACAGAGACGGTCACCAAAATAGATACGATCACCAAATACCGTACCGTCACGAAGACGAAGACGGAGAAGGAGACGGAGACGGAGACGGTAACTAAAACGGTCACAAAAAAGCCCTATCCCCACCAGTATAAGCCCCCATACTGAGTGAGAAGGTATGTACCTCGGAGACCGCTTCAACTGATGGTAGAGACTGACACACTAAGGATATTGGTGCCTGAATGAGGTAGCCGCTGCGAGTTGGGTGGACTAGGCACTTTGAGTGTTTGCTCCAGCGACACAATGGGTGACTAGGGTTTGGATGCTTCCGGGCAAGATGAATTTTAACATGACACTCCTTTTCATCAGGCTCAATCTCGCATACTGTTTAGTATGCTCTGTCCGTTATCTCTTTTATTAATCTTCACCTACTGTTAATTAAGAGCTTAGGCCATTGGATTGGAACGCTACATACTTGATGGCGAGGATATTAAATTTTCTTCTTACGACATTCATTCATGTAACTAGAAATAGTCACTATATACTGACGGCAGTCCAGCCGCCTCTGGACCAAAATTCAATTACCTGCAACACAGCAGAAGAAGACAATCAGCCAGCCCGCCTGTGATCCTTTTCAAGTGGTTTGTGAGAAAATTGACAAACGCGACGTGGGTAGGTTATGTGACCACTTGATGACCTTAAATATATGTGCGGGAAGTATTGTATATGTGTTCTCTGTAGCTTTCGCCTCTTGAGGTCAGGGAGGTTTAGTCTTTTCTAGGTTTCTAACTTGGGGGTTTTATATGCCCAGGCGTTTTAATGTAGTTGAATTATAAAGTAAAGTATATTAATATATTTCACTATTTATTATAACTCAGGCTTTTACTGTTAATATTGCTATTTAATCCGGGCAGCCGCAGCAGGGACGCGGCGGGGACGCGGCGGGGACGCGGCGGGAACGTACCGTTATTGTTGCTGCTGCTGCTGCTGCTGCTGCTGTCCTTGCTACAGGAAGTCCTTGTTGTCTCGCGATACTTGAACGATTACCTCCCCAGAGCATTGCGGGTACGGCCACGCTTTAATCTGTATGGGCCCCTTTGCGAGTTTATCGCGCGACCAATCGTAAGAGACCGTGTTCTCTATGCGGTGTAGAAGAACCTCACATAGCGAACCTCCGTCAGCAGCAGACTTGCGAACCTCGGCAAGACTCGGCTTTAGTGTGTAGTTGAGGTCATCTGTGAGAAGAGCGGGGTCCTGGCCAAGACCGAGACAATCTCCGCAGAACATGATTGAGGTTAAGTCTAGAAAACTCGCCCGGGCGGAGGAGACGTGTGTGGCTTTCAATGTTACACAAATATGTGAGTCCTAGGATATTTTGCTGGGCTAGATTGAGAGTCCACTTGTGCTACCATCTTGAATGTTAAGAATTCCTCAGCAATTAAAAATTCGCATGCATGTAAGATGTAGGTCCATAAAGTTACGTCATCACACGTATCATATTGTGAGGGCTCCTGCACTGGAAACACATTATAGATGCTAGCATTATGTTACGGGCTAGGAAAAATGAATCTCGGTGTTGAAACCAAGATAGTTGTGTCGGCTTTCTTTAAAAGAAATCCGGAAAGGTAGTACAACTTGAATAGTTGATAAAATAGCTTTTGTCGTCGAATCATCGTCGAAACCTCCCGCCATTCGGTTCTTGAATCGAGCGTCGCCAACATTTCCAACAGCGTGTTATAGAGTGTGATGACCACCGAGGGAACAACGGACTCTATTGTCCAAAACTGCAATCAGTTTGCAAACACTTGGATTGACTTTGCTCCAAGGTGGCCAGTTTCTTTCCCAAACAGTGTCTTAATAAAATCCACACTGGTAAGGTTTGAGGTTTTGGGCAAAGCGGACAGCGCGGCGAGGTTTTTCTTCCATTGCTCTGCAAACCAGGCTGCCTTCGCCAAGTTAACACCGTTGGCGATCATAGTCTCTTGTGCCTTGGCAAGTACGAGAAGCCAAAATTGTTGGTCCTGCTTGAGCTTCGCCCCGAGAATGTTACTGGTTTCGACAAGGATAAGATACCGGCGGAGGGCTTCCCAGTTCAAGGCCGCCGCAAGGGCGTTGTTCGGTCCGAATCCGAGTGACTTGTAAAAGCTACCGGCTTCTTGGGAGCCGCTTTTCTCTCTTTTCATATTTCCCTCGGAGTCTGGGGACCAGATATTGGCTCGCTCATTGAGAGCTGCATCAATGCTGCGAGCTAGTTTGCTTTAGTATTTGCTTCTGTACTCTGCATGGTTACGTACCCTCGTCGAGTCCGGGAGCCATAGCATCGAGAGAGCGCTCATTGTTCAGGTCGAGCTTCTGTGTAGGATGCGCGGATGTGGAATGCGCCAAAAGGGAAAAGGCGAAAGCCAAAATTGAAAGTCTCATATTTGCGAAGGTGAGTGGGAATAGTTGGTTGTTTCTAGTCACGGCTTGACTCGGGAATAAACTATCTTAATTGAGAAGGTGAAGGATGAAGTGATTAGAGAAGCAGGTGTAGCATCTTGTAGGGAAACGCTTCCATTTTATACATTACGGCTCATGCGCGGATTCCCAGTCGCTGATCTCACACTGGCAGTATTGGTATTGACTCACATCTTCCATGCCAGTATGAATTTACAAATGCCGGCGGTTTAAAGAGAAAGGCATATGCAGTATGAGATCGGCGTTATGCGCCTTCCGCTGGGATGGATTGTAGATGTCTTGCACCGACTGAGTGAATGCGCATTTAGAGGGCAAAAGGTCAAGCAGAAAGAGCCCATTTTGAGCATGTCAGGCATTTCAAACGGGATCTATGAGCTTTTCTTACTGTGGGAATGGATTGGACTAGTTTATCAATTAAGACGATAACAACGGTACCAGACGGAGCAAATCGCCTATATCTGTACCGCGTTCATTATGTACGCCCTCGAAGTACCACTTAGTCTAAAGGGATATACATCATTCCATATCATAGTTCAAAAGTCTCACTCTTCTCCGCAATATATTCAGCGAAAAAGAGGTAACGTAATGTCAACATGTAATGTATTCACGCGCACATTCTCCTTGAACCCAATGTCTGTCCCATCAACTGAGCATGAACATGACCAGTAATATCCCCAATATTCGGGTTGGTATGGTGATCTTTGAAATACGCCGAGTCTCCGTCCCGTCTTGAGACAATTGTCGTATTGGTCTTGTATCGACTCGGCTGTCGGAGAATCTCATCGATATCTGCCGTGACGGTCTAAAGGACCTTCAAAAAGGTTGAGAAGAAATTCTATAGTACAACGGGAACGGAAAGTCTGAGGAGTCGCTAATTGTGACGACAGGGCTGCAAGTGGCTGTGGGGGAGGAGTTAGAGGCGATTGATGATCTAACACAATCCGGATCCTTCTTCGGCCGCTTTAAGACAGACAACAACGAACGCCATCTCCAGGTACCAGGTACTAAACAAGACATAATATTTAGATACCAGACAGCTAACACCGCGGGACTCTACCTTCGCGCTGAATGGCTACTTTTGGAGACTAATATTCCGCCTCCCTGGGGAATGGCGACTCCCTTCAAAAGCGCGACATCTCGGAGAATTCTACAACATATAACCAGGCACCGCACTTTTACCACCGTCTAGCTACTTTCGGGAAGAATGCGAGCAAAATGCTATTGGACTTGATGATTGTCCTATCGGTGGTGGATCGCAACACCACAACAGATAACACTCAACCGCCCCACCCACCAAAAAAATCGACGAAATTGTCAAAAAGAAATTGGATGGCATTGCGAGGCAATTTTGCTCCCAGCAGGGCTTGAACCTGCGACCTTCGCATCACCAACACTAGCAAGTAGTAGTATTAGTACGAAGCTCTAACCAACTGAGCTATGGAAGCCGTCCGATTTGCTGTGCAAGTCGCCGTACGTTTTGACTACTTGATCCACCATCCTCTGCATTTTTTTGGCCGCTGGGAACTTTACGCTGAGCGCGGTGAACAACTCGATGGATAGTTCGAGGTCATTGGTCGCCTTTGTCTCCTCTAGCACTGCCGCTAGGTTATCTGGTTGAGCCGTCACGGCATAGATGAGGGATAGTGTCGAGGTGAAGACGGAAAGAAGATTTAACCAGTTATATGCAAACCTTTTCTGCCGGTGCATGTTTGTGGCCTGGCGGATGGACATGGAGGCGGCCTCTGCAAGAATCTTGATGCGATGTTGATCCAGCGTCGGAAAGAGGGGAGTTGGTCGATAGAGCATCGCGAGGTGGGTGTAGTAGTTGAAGTCGTACCAGTTGCTGGTCAAATGCGGCACTTGCGCATTGATGTCGGGGAGGGGGAACGGCATGTTGCGGCGCCAGTCGATAAGCTCCTTGTGTAGTGACCTCAGTATGTCTTCTCGTTCATGCGTTTCTAGTAGAGCGACCCTCCGATTTGAGTACACCAGCGTTGCCATCTTGCCGGCAATTCGCCTCAGAGCCAGGATATGGAGAGGTACAGCCATCATGGAAGGGTTAAGAGAGGTGGGGGTTTGGATGCCGTCGGGTGTTACATCCTCTTCGTCGGCATCAGCAAAAGGCTAGGCTGGGTATTAGCTGGGACCACTCCAGAGAATTATTTGACAGGAATTCCTTACCGAGACATCAATGTCATCTTCGTGCAAAGCAAACGGCCTCCCGAGAGCTAGCGATACCACACTTGAGGAGGAGGACGTCATTAGCAAGTGCCTGTCATTACTATCAGGATTTTCGCCTACCGATCCATCATGTAGATGGAAAAGAAAACCCGTTTCCGCCTTTCGATAACATCGTGGGGTAGTCCTTCATAGGTCTTGGATGTGTGAAGACCCATGCCGAGAGCTATTCGAGCAGCTAAGCCAACAAGGAACCACGTATCTGTAGGGTGATTAGTGTGAGGATCCTGATGGTCGGATGGAGGGTTATACTTGGCCCTAGTTGATTAAAGAACGAGTATGAGACCTGCAGCGCAATGACCTCTAGAGCAGCCTATGGGAGTGTCAGAATGCATTGTTGATCAGCAAGGTCTTACGTACCATGTCTCCATACTCGAGAGCCGCCTCGAAATATGTCAGAGCTTTGTCGTAATACAGCATCGACTCTGACTCTTCAGCCAATGTAACGGAGCAATATGCAGTAGAACCGATTGCTAAAACCATCCAAATTCTGAAAAGAGACAATGGAGATTGGGCCAACGGGGCATCTGGGTTTGAACGGACGAACTGAAGAGTGGAAGTGAACTCGCTCCGCTGTATAATCGGGTACAGCGTATGTGAGTGGGCAAAGTAGAAATCTACTAAGCGGCTAACCTTGGCATCGTCGGTCAGGAGAGATAAGTGGGCGACGGCCTCATCAGGTGCCGCGATAGCGGAGAGGGGGTAGTCGCCGAATAAAATCGGATCGCACGCGGTAGGGTTTCCAAAGTTGTTGAACATGAAATTGTTCAGCATCGTCGAAGGAGACCCGGCGTTGAACTGCTGGAGAGTCTGGTCTTCGTCGTCGTCGTTTGCAAAGACGAAATCGGCCTTATCGGGAGTGAGGCGTCGAAGCACCATCTGCGTGAGTTTCGCAAACGAGAGACCGGACGAGGAGCCAAGATGTCGCTCCGCCGTGGCTTCGAGCGACAGCTGTTTCAGCTCTTCGTCGAGAGAATGTGGCGTTTCTCGAACTGATCTTGGGGCAGTGTCTTCGGGATGAATTTCCAAGTCGCCCCAGGATCCATCGTGGGAATAAAAGGCCGGCGGACAGGTGCCGTCTGGGTCGATGACGACCAACTCTTCAGGAAACTCATCCAGGAATTGTTCTGGATTTTGACCGGAACATGAGATTTCATCTGCGAGAGATGCCTCCTCATTCGCGGCGGAACTTGGTGCCCGTGGCGAACCAGCAAGTTGGTTTTCCAGGTCCTGGATTCGGCTTTCGAGGCTGCGCACATAACTACGTGATCAAGGTCAGCCGCAGCAACCTGAGCTGAAGAATCATATATGTGACATCTTCATTGCAAGTAACCAACCCACACTGCTTACCCAATGGGATATGACGCTGTTTGCCGGTCATCGTCCAGGAAGCTACAGGCGATACGGGCCTTGTGGCAGTTTTCGCACTGCGGCAAAGCCCGGTCGCATCTCTTCTTCCGCTTGTGACATCGCGAGCACGACGTTCTAGCGTAGGCTGTTGCAAAAGGCGGCGCCATGGAAAAGACACAGCTGCAGATCGAGACACGCGACAAAAGTCGGCAGCAAGAAAAGAGGAGAGGGGTATCTTGATCGAGTTGGGGGTGCGTCTGCGCTTTATCGCGATATCGATCTTGTCCCATCCCCCGTTTTCCCCGCATCATCTCCTGCACGATTGATAGGCCCAGTTGGCCATCGCCATGACTCAGATCCGATAAGGCCTCTCCAATCATGGCAGCTGTTTTGGAAATGCCCACTAATCTACATGCTAGACTCGATCAGAGCTTAGAGCCAACATTGCCATTATCACCTTGATTTCTGAGTAGGCCTCCAACGCTGCCTCTACGGGCTCGTGAACGTAGTTATGACCATCAGAGGCCCAAACCCTTGCTTCTCACTTCTGATGTACGAGAGGATTCGTGCGTATTGATCCTTGGAAACAAGTGCCCTTGAAACGTATCGGCAGCCAACTTATCGTAAACCATGCTAACCCTTGCAAACTCCTTATTGAATAGCAGGACGAATTTGTCGTGGATGTCTTTGTGCACTGGAATGCGGGACGTAGCGCGACGTTTCAACTTGACCTTGGTTATACATGATGCCTGGATGGGCCAATGTAGCGGCTTGATCCCAGTCTACATCGCTGAGGACATCCAGGAGACTTTCCCCTCGTCTCCATCGTCATACCTTTGAGTGTTGAAGAAGCCATCTCCATCACCTCTTCCTGGTGTTGAACTCGCGAAGACGACCTTGCCATGGTCTGGGTGATCCATAATAATCGCACCAGCCTTTGATTCAAGCTTATTTAGTACATTCCCCATGTCATGACTAAAATTGCTCTTGGCGATAGGACTGGCGACGTATAATATACCCAGTGTAACTTGCTTTACAAGGTTCAACACGACTATGTTGTTGCCTGCCAATGCTGAACTACGCTTCTAAGCGGTCATACCGAGCGGGAAATTCCACGGTATGATTCGCCCGACAATACCAATTGGCTGGCGGACCGTATACGCAAGCTTTGTAATAGTGCTAACAATCGGTTGACTGGAGATTTTGTGAGCCTAGTCGCATAATGTCGAATTGTCCCGATCACTTCGTCCACGTAGTCATAGAGAGCAACCGAGTACGGCTTTCCTGTTCCCCACATACGTCAAAGAATCGTCTCTTGAATCAAGGCTGGAAATCACATACCATGGTCGAGAGTCCGAATCGTTTCGAGGGCCTCCTATTTTCCCAGATTAGATCAGCCAATTTGGACATGAGCTTTCCACCATCTGAATGGCCGAGATCCTTCTATGCCGGGACTAGAAGTTCTTTGCAAGCAACTTCAATAGTGGTGTCGACGTTGTGTTTGCCAGTAGCGAAGACAGCTGTCATCTCCATCTCAGTCTCGCTACGCGCCTATACCTACCGAGGATTGATTGCGTCAATATTTCCACCCCTTTGATTCACCAACTCACTGTTGATAAAACGATCGCACGCTGGTCAAATGGGCTGCATTGGGAGCAATAATACCAGACCTAAGTACCGTAATTGCCGTGATTTTTCAGAGTGACAAAGTAAATTCCGTAGCTGTGGGTGATGTTTCGCAAAACGAAGCGTCGTACTAAGGCTGCAGAACCAGGTAGCGCGGTCCATAATCAGCTCAAGGTACCAGGCGTAGATTGTCGGAGGAGCCGACAAAACGACACTCTCCTAAAATTACAGACGGATTGATAACGTATCGAGCCGTCAACCCCGCTATTGTCGGAGCCATCAGAGCGGCCCGTCCGACACACCCGCAAGATGTTCATGCACGTACTTGTAAATCGGACAAATCGACATAGGCAATCGCTTGTTCTAGCTTGTCGATGATATCTGCAAGCCAATAATAGACGATTATTTCCCTCGACTTTTGTTTATTTTTCCGCACCAATGATCATTATGCGAAATAGGTAATGGATGTAGACTCATTTGACTCTTTACGTGTTTACAAACCAACAACCGCCGTCGCTTTGACTTCAACAATCAAACGAGGATCAGGTAATTCCTTTACACCAATCGTTGCCCGCGCCGGGGCACTGTTCCGACTTGGAAAGACTTTGTTCCATTCTTCGTTCATCCCAGCATACTGAGATTTCATATCCAAAATGTAGACAACCGCATCAATGACGTTGAGAATTCCGCCAGCCCCACCCGTAGCTCCCTTGATTATCTCGTCGATGTTCTTGAGGACGGCAGCGGTTTGCTCTCGGATGTCAAGAGTGTAAGTGCCGTCGGTGTTCTCCGTGACACCTGGGTAGCTCCCGTCCGGCCGCCGGCATGCGATGCCAGAGACGTAGATGGTTTTGTGCGTGGAGGCAGGACTAATGCGGGCATGGGGATATCGAGTTGGCCCCTCTGGCGCATTTGGATCCAGTAGAAAGGCTTGTCCGTTGGGAGACATATTTCGGCTTGGGAAAAAGTTGACGGCAGTAATTCTGAACAAATGAGACGAGAAGTCTTGAGAAGACGGTTCAGTATCTGGTTTACTGTGCGTTTGGGACTTCGTAAACTTGAGGATGTCTACATGTTTCCTTGTCACCGACGTCACTGCCTGACTTTTAAACTCGAGGTTTGTCGGAACGACCGAAAGGAAACGGCCGGAACCCACAGCAGGCATGATAGACAATTTCGGACAAGCCGTCGAACAGCCATCCTTTATCTAAGTGCGGTGACGATGGGGACT